ACTGGTTAAATATTAGGGTTAAAAACCATGTTATCCTGTCCGTTGGCCCGTCTACGCAGCTAATGATAGGCCTAACCNGAGTTGTCGTTTGGAGGCCTACGATTTCCTCTACACCTATTCTGAGCTACAGTTTCGTAGCCATTAGAAACGGCTATTTGCCGTGCCAAGTTCCGGGACTCCTCTCTCTGCTCTCTTCCCGTGCACACGTTGGTTGCTGTTCGAAACATGTTTCTTATAAGCGCCCTTTTCGTGTGAGAGGGGTGAGAGGAGAGGTAATGAACCAAGATATTTTTACTACTTGGCTTTCGGTACCACTTTGTAATGTAGCCATTTTCTGATAGGTGAATTTGTACGTTCAAAAATGGAAGCCATTTTTCTTTCGGCTTTTCTCGGGTGAATTTGATATACTCTGACTGTGCGTTTAACAATTCGAAGCATTTGTCCATTTCCTCTTGTGTTGAGCAAAGGACAAAGCAGTCGTCTACATACCTACAGTAGAGTAGCGGCCCGAGATCGGTCAATGGTGCTTCGACCTTAGACATAAATGCAATGGCAAAGCTTGGAGCCAGTCGTTGTCCCATTGCCAACCCTCTTATTTGAGCGTAGTACTTTCCAGACCATCTGAAGATTGAGCAGCCCAAGCATTCTTTTAAGAGTGCCATCAGGTGCTCTATCCTGAAGCCATACATGTTTATTTCTCCTTCGTGTTGTGTAAGGAGTTCGAATATGGCTTGCATTGCGGAGCCATTCGACACGTTTGTATAAAGGGCGGTAACGTCGAGGGACTCCATCAACTCCATCACGTGCGCGCTGCTGGGCTGCGCAGTACGTAGACCATCCAGAAACATCTGGGTATTCGTAAGATGGGCTGGAATGTGTTTCAACAACTGGTTAAATATCAGGGTTAAAAACCATGTTATTCTGTCCGTTGGCCCGTCTACGCAGCTAATGATAGGTCTAACCTTAAATAGTGATGGATCGGTAGACGCAGGATCATCGCTGGATACCAACTTATGAGTTTTTATAAGCAAGTAAAAGACGGGACATGCTGGTAAGTCAACTTTTAGTTGAGAGATAACTGATGGTTTTAAACGAGTAGCTCTTGCCACTTTAACCCATTCGTTGTTTAACTTTCGGTATTAACTTTTAAATTCCTTCTCAGATGATGGGCGATAAAGCGAAGCATCTTCAAGATGCTCTTTCGTTATCTCAACATCTAACTAATGGGGAATTACAACAAACTCTCCACCTTTATCACTAACGGAAAGTCTTATGGTTTTCAACCTTATCAGCTCTCGTACCTCTCGCATGCCACGTTTTTGCACTGGAGTGAGGTTTAAGCTGTATCTTTTCGCGCGATAGTGATTAAGGACTTTGAGAGCTTCATTCGCAAACATCCGAAAATTAACATCAACTNTGGGGAATTACAACAAACTCTCCACCTTTATCACTAACGGAAAGTCTTATGGTTTTCAACCTTATCAGCTCTCGTACCTCTCGCATACCACGTTTTTGCACTTCAGTGAGGTTTGAGCTGTATCTTTTCGCACGATAGTGATTAAGGACTTTGAGAGTTTCATTCGTAAACATCCGAAACTTAAGATCAACTTGATTATTGAGCTCTTGTTGTCGAAAGAACGGCTGAGGAAATGGTGCTATTGGTGGGGCCCCCACTTGGTGTTGTTTGCACCTATTTAGCGCTTCATCTCTAGCTTTTTTGCGGAGTCTATCTTGAAGTTCTTGTAAACTACATGCGACCCTACGCAAGGTTATCTTAGAAATGGGTTCAAATGGTGAGAAACTCGGCCCCAATTCTAATAATGAGCGCGCACCGTCAGGGAGAGTCATGCCTCTTTGCACGCTTACCCTTGAATTTCTTTGCACATTATTTATCCTACTGTGACTCGTTTGATCATCGTTGGCGGTGTTTCTGTATGCTCTTGAAGCCGTGTTATGCGATTTACTCAAAAGGTCTTCGAATTTTCTCCGCAAATTCACTTTAGCATTAGACCTAATAAAGGTGATATCTTCGTTGCGAAATTTTTATACAGCTCGTGAAAAATCTTTACATACTGAGTTGCGAATCCCTGGCTATCCAGGGCTTCCCTGACTCCTTCTGTCTCAACTGAGTCGAAAGGTTTCTTTAAACATGTGAAGTTGAAGTAGACGGTCTCTTGCACTCTCGCGATACTTCGGTGAGTCTTGTTATCGTGTGAACGTGGTCCATAAGTACTGAATCCTTTCAGAACTCTTCTTGCTCACATGGCTATCCTTCGTCAGTGTTCTGTGAATCCTATTTAGGACGACTTCCGTGAGTATTCGTCCTATATTGGAATAATTCAAGCTTACAATGTTGAATTAAGTGAGCATTACCTTAGTCCTATTCCATTCTGTCGCCTTGATGAGTCATGGTTACCATGTAGTATGGGCAACAACAAAGGGTATTTTTAAGAAAACCGAGATATCACTGACATACGTTGCCACAGCGACACCCAAATGCTGAGAGTACCATGGTTTGATGGTGGACGAGTTTGTCGCAGTTTATATGTTGCAAAAGCCTGGACCGAATAAATTGAGCACACAGGGCATTTATGAAGTGAATACAGGAACTAGCTGAAAAATACCGGGGAAAAGTGAATAGTGGACCGAAAAATGATAGAAAGACGGGTAATTTTCCAAAGAGAAGGGCAGAGTGGTTGTTGTGAGTCAATCTTAATCTCTTTTGTTGGCTTTTCTATTTAAAACATTGCTTTGCCATTAGAATGTGCAGACAAAATCTAAACAAATTCCTTACGTCAGTTCGCGGAGTGCTCTAACTTCTACCCTTGCTGATGCTGTTTGCACTTAGTTGACCTTCCTTCTCAGCTCTAGTGATCTTGAAGTAACACCGATTGCTCGCGCAGTTCGAATACTTCCATTGCCTTACACAGCAGCCTAACACACGTTTAGCGTTCAACGTTGGCGCTTCCGGATTTGAAAACATGCAGTTATCCAATTTGTTATATCACTGGAAATTATATGCACAGTCATGATGATACTGAGACATTTGCGAAACTCCGAACCGCAGGTAGTGGGGACCGAACACGCTATTACCCTTTACGGCATTCATCACTACACAATGTGAGTGCTTCATTTCGCCTTTCTCTCAGACTTTCTCAAACCCATTGACGGATGTTTGCTGATAGCACCTATAGGTCAATAACATGGCCCACTGCATACGCCAGGGGTCCGGAGGTTTGCAAATATCTCAGCATCATTACAGTCATATTTTACAATTCCAGTTTGTTCTAGGAATCCCTTCGTTGCTCAAAATGCGAATCCGTGCTCAAAAAGTACGGAAAAAAAAATCATTTTTATGATTTAGATAGTTGAACTCGTATTGCTTTACAACAGACAATTGTGTATCTTTCAAATATTTGTAAAACGTATTAGTTCTTAAAGGATAAAGGATAAAGCTCTCGGCGTTGATCAATCCCTGAGGGATGCGCCATGCATTCGACTTCATTAAGTATCGTTTGGAGGTGATTTAATACTTATCTGGCCTCAAGAGGGCTTCAAGCATACGATTACCCTTGCCGAGCGCATGCGGACTGTCCACCATATCATGCAATGCCATTGCTTTACCTCTCTCTTTGCCAGTTTTTTTCCTCTATTGGTGCTTTCAGTAATCGACCGTCTATGGGAATTATCTCGGCGGCAGAAATCAAATATCGCCACCATATTGTGCAACCAGTCTGAAGAGCTTCTAGATGCTGGATGTAGCAAAGTCACGTGGTTGAGGAGTGATTTTCTTCACGTCACATTTGACTTAAGACTGACCGTTAGAAACTCCTCGTAGAAACCTTGAGAAACCAAAAAAGTTACTTGTAAAAAAGATCTGTGCGTGGGAATACAGTGAGGGCGAAATGGCCTTTCATATAAATGTGGGAAGTGTATAGTCAGAGCCTGGACGAGTATTATTTTACAAGCAAGACAATTTGCTCGCGTTCAGGACGTTCGTTTTGTACGGCGTCGGCCACCTTCTGAAGCCGATCGTAAAAGACTAGCAGACTGTTATGGGCTCGTAGTGAAGTAGTGGTTCGGATTTTTACCAACAACACGGCAGAACCTTAGTTTCGTGCGTCAAATTTCAACACTGAATATATCACTCTTTCCAAAGGCAAATACTTATGTCTATGTGTATGATTCACATACATTAACGAAATTCCGTTGCAACCTGCAATGTTGGCGAAAGACTCTTTCTTTGGAAAAGAAGGTAAAGGGAATGAAGTGTAAATACTAGCATATGCTGCCTTATCAATCCCACTTGGAAGAGCATACCCAATTTCACAGGATATACTCGGAAAAAGAGCTCTAGACGAGTTACTTTTGGCAATATCATGTAAACAACTAACAGGTAACTAACTGTATAGGAGGCTGTTAGGGGTGGCCTCCAACAAATAACCTCCCCGTTTACTCTGGGAGAGACTGGCAAGCTACTTGTGAGTATACCTCGCCCAAACGTTCAGAGCATAGCAAGCATACGTGGGAAAAAGGCAGTAAAATAAATGGGCCTCATTCCCCTGACCCCGAAGGAGCTCCCGATTCGGCAGCATTGGCTGGAGTGAGAGCGGAGAAACTGCTAAAATCTCAGCGCCATTCTAGACTACCTAAATCGCAAAGGAATAAGGTGGCGATCTTTACCTACAATGCACTTTCACTTTCATCTGAGTCCTTAAATGAAGACTTGATCATGCAAGCAAAAAGGGCAAGGTACGACGTCACGGACTGGCCGAGACGAGACGACGTCACCCATTCAACGCCTTCTGTGACGCCGATGAAAAACTTTTCCCAGTAACATGCGACAACAGAGGAGTAGGCGGATTGGAATGGAATGAGCAGAATGAGCGGCAGTTTGAGTTTATCATGACGACCAAGACCATTCATGGTAACTCGCAATTCCAAAAGCCCACACTCAACGCTGGACATGAAAGCATCCTAGTGGAGAGTACCATAACGAGATAGACCACATCATAGTACGTCGAAGGTTTCATCTTATCGATGTCGCTGTTCTCCCCGAATTCTACAAGGGATCAGACCATCGCTTCCTTTGTGCAAGAGTTCATTTCTCACGGAAAGGAGAAAAAGCCGCTAAAGTCTAAAACGAAGTCCCAAAACCACTATAAACTGGGATTTATTCAATTCACTGGCCGGCTGCTGGGAAGAAACCGTTCTCGATAGCATCAACGAAGGAAGCCGTCGGCTCACCCAACATATTCATCTTAGCGCTATAAAGGCTGACAGTTCAAAATGCAAGCAACCGCTAACCCACGTTCATTCACGACTACTGCTCAGATCTTTTCAATAGCCACGTCCACCTTTCCTCATATAAAATAAGGAAGGACGGATATGTCGTACCACCAGCAGTTCTCCTTCTGAAATCCTTTATATTATTTCGTTAGTGAAAAATCGAACAGCACCAGGTCCAGAAAGGATAAGATCTAAGCACCTGAAGAACCTTGCACTAGTCCTAGTAAACGCACTGGCACAGCTCTCCAAGCGTTACCTGTCTGAATGAAAGGCTCCTACTTAACGGAAGTCCATCAAGACTGTGTTATTGTTCAAGAAGGGTGACCTCCACGATATCGGCAACTATCGCCCATTCGGCTTGTTAACTGTCGACGACAAACTTAATTCACTCGAGTCATCTTAAACAGAATTGACAGAACAGTGGACGAAAGACAGTCATGAGAGCAAGCAGAGTTTCGAAAAGGATTTAGTAGATGGACCACATCCACACGATAACAAGGCCCATTGAAGTATCGCTAGAGTACAAAAGACCGCTCTGTCTCACTTTCATCGATTTAAAGAAGGCATTTAATTCAACTGAGATAGAAGCAGTCCTGGAAGCCCTTGATAGTCAAGGAGTTTCTACTCAGTACATAAAGATTCTTCGTGAGCTGTACAAAAATTTTACAACCAAGGTATCACCATTCTACAACGATATTAACATTGACGTCAAAAGAGGAGTTAGGTAAGGCGATACCATCTCCCCAAAATTATTTACCGGCACCCTCCAGAACGTCATGCGAACATTGGAGTGCGACAACATGGGAATGAAAATTGATGGTCGGCAATTACACCGTCTTCACTTTGCTGGTGACATCGTTCTTATAACACTAAACATTGGCCAAGCGGAACGAATGCCTGCCGACTTTAATAAAACCTGTGCAAAAATTGGTTTTCGATTAAATATCACGAAACGATTTTCATGAAGAACGGATTAGATAAGTATGCGCGATTCACTCCCCACGAGAGGAATATCTTCGAATTCTCCAAGTGCGTCTATCTAGGTTGAGAAATCAACATGATGGCTCTAGAGCTGGGCAGAAACAACTGAACTGCTTGGGGTGCTCTTAAGAGCATCGAAGATGTAGTGAAGAGAACAAAGAACCCGACTCTGTGCCCTTCTTTTCGACTCCACGATTCTCCTTGCACTAACATATGCTTGAGAAACCTGTTCGTTGCGTAAGCAGGATGAAAGATCGAAAAGAATCACTCAGCAGTATAGCACGCGCAGTCGAAAGGACGATGGTTGGAGTCTCTCGTGTCAAGCAAGTGGGAGAAGGGGTCCGAAGCTCCGATCTGCGTCAACGATCGAAAATCAAAGGTGCCGTTCTGTACGCCAAACAGTTGAAGGTAAGGTGGTCCGGACACATAATGCTTATGAACGACAACCGATGGACAGGAACCGTTACTGACTGGATTCTTCGGGATTTCAAACGTACTGCAGGAAGACCACCGACCCGATGGTCAGAGCCTTCACGAATAGCCTAAAAGAAAGATATGATGCTCAAGGAGTCCCTAGAGCGACCAGGACGTGCTGAGCTATTCTAGCACTCGACAGGAAAAAACAGAATATGCTGAAATATTCTAGGAATAAACTGACTCATTTCTACCACAATGATGCTGAGATAGCTCGAAAAACCGACTTTCTATAAACCTCGACATAGATAGTTGATATATTTATTTATATGATCTTATAAACTGATCTTCTTAAGCTGACGCGAGGTCGGTACAGGTCTTCGTTGTCGTTGTGGTTGTTTTTGATGTTGTTGGTCGATGGCTGACGTTTCGGCGACTTCGCTTTCCTCAGAGCCGTGATGTTACGTGTGGGACTGGCCCAAGATCAGTTTATAAGATCATATAAATAAATAGATGCTGAGATATTTGCAAAACTCCGAACCGCAGCTGTCGGCGGTGGGGATCGAACACGCTACTACTCTTTCCTGTGGCTAGCGCGTTCACCACCACACTATGTGGATCCTTCGTTTCGGCTTTCTTTCAGCCGTGTTTTATTGGTGCTGTCAACAATCACTTGTCAACGGAATTGATTTGAATATCACAAATTGGAATTGAACCCAGCTGAGCTGAGGCTGTAGTGGAAATCACAATGTTAACTTTTTATTTACTGCCTAGTGCAATTTTTCACGATAAGGTATTATGTGAGCAAAACTCCGGATGTGGTGGTGAAGCTACAGGAAGGGGTAATAGCGTGTTCGATCCCCACCGCTACGAGTGGTTCGTGTGTAAACAGCTGAATTTCTGAAAAGTCAAAGTTGTGGATACGGTGGCACTTGTTTGGGAGTGTCTAACATCTCTCTCATCGACCCTGTCGGTGAATGCCCTTTCACACCTGAGTTCCTAAGACCATAGCGATGCAGTCATCGTCAATTCTACGCCACTTTTTCTTCGTGAAGTGACGGATCTGTTGTCATCGGAATCAACCAATTAAGTCGACCTAAATCTATTCTAGCCAGAATGATAGGCTTCGAAATTCCATCGACGTACGCTGTCAGAGAAATTTACACATGATGAACTGCGTGAACGAGTTACTCATTCTGAATTTCTAAACATGATGTGCCCGAGTGGCCTATGAGCAGCCCTGTACCTGAGTACTTCACGACGGTTTCACTGGAAATCAGCATCGAAGTGTTTCAGCTAAGGGAATTACTTAGCACTCCAGTCACCCCGTCACAATATTGACTGGAGGTTTTCTTGTTGAAAGATCTCCAAAGTCGGGCACAAGTGAGGAAGTAATTGCTGTTGTTCATCTGAAATCGTCGAATGCCTTAAACATAACACTACGCTGGATTGATCGCGTTTCGAACAACCAGCTAGTAAAGCATGGCGTCAAGAATATCCTTACTAAACCTATTCGGCTCCACTTCCAACGATGACCTTCTGCTTCAGGTGTCTTCCTCGACTTCACACACGTATTCGACCACGTGCGCCAACGTTGAGATGCAATTTTTCGGTCACACTTTTCGATGGCTTTCTTTCTTCCAGTTTTGTCTCGACATAGAAAATCTTCCAGCCTTTACTTGTGGCTCTGGCTGCTGCTTGAGAAATTTCATACCATCTTGAATGCCGCAGAAAGAGTCGGTTCTCCCATCTGAGATAGCCCGGCTGGAGCGTTTCCAATTGGATTGCAGAGAGCGATTTTTTCCCAGGCAAATCCGGTACCAATTTCCCGACACCGGAGGGATGAGAGGCTAGGCTTGCGTTGAGTGGAATCGAACTAGTACTCTATGCTCGTGATGACTATGCAAGTAAAATATTGGAATATAAATTAAAAACTCATGATTTATTGCTCGAAAAACAAACGATCGTTGCAAATCTCGTCAGCTCTTATTTTCAGCTTCAAACAGACAATTTCAGCTTAGGGTAAACCTTCTAAAGACTAACACCTAAACAAAGAACAGGTGTTTTGTGCGATGTTAGCGAAGTTATTCCAATAACCGATCATCTTACCAGCGAATTGTCAGATAAAATCGCAACATTCCTCTACATTACCTGCAATCGGATTCGTCGCTTCCCTTCACTTCGGTGGAACGGCAAAAATACCTCAAAAAGGATAGTGATGGACGCAAATGAGAGATGACAACAAAGAAGTGTTCAGATGACGATGGAATCATCTGGTAGTCGCGTGCTGTCTGTACATGGATCAGCCCGTGGTTGGATTTCAACCTATTTGCACGCACTTAGTAATGACGATGGACAACAACAGTGGGTGCCAATTGGCAACACACAGGGCAAGCGTTCCTGTTTCAGGGAGTATTATGTACAAACAGGAAAGGAGTTCCAGTTTCCCGTCTGGAACGCGAGCTAAGAAAGAACCAATTTCAGGAATCATCGTCGTCGAGGCAGAAACCTACTCGTAAAACGCTATATTTCCTTCCGACTCACGAAATTCGGCGTACACGGTGTACACAGGATATAACGCGTTCCTTGTGTGTTATGAAATGTGTGAAATGCGAATGTTTTTTTCGAATGTCTGTCATTTCCTGGGTCAGGATGTCACGATGAAAGTCATGAAAATGTCTCAAAAAGGGTGTGAAGGGCGAAACGACGGCTCAGCACGCTTGTCTTTGAGTTATTCGTACATATTCAATCGACCTTCCCAAGCACTTTGTCATTCTGGAAAACGCTTTTTGTGATCGAATCATGTTCGGGAAATTCTTTCCAAACGGCCATCACTACTGTGATGTAATATCTTCGAAACTTTGATGTTTTTAAAAAAGAATGTCATGTTTGACAAGTGCACACGTGCGCTTGCGCGACCAAATTCGAACTGGTACCTCGTGATGAAAGGGACAGTCCGTCACATCGATAAAAGAAGACATTATGCGGACAACTATTACCCTGATAATCTGTGCCGATAAAATTCTACGAGAAGAACTGAAGAATGCTGAACATGTAGAGGGTAAATAAAGACACGTAGGCGAACCCCAAGGTGGTGCGATGGGCTCCTGGAAAAGAACTGAAAGTGTGGCAGACACGGATCGGTAAGATGGACGCAATTTTAGACGATTCCAATGTGTCATGTTGGTGCTTTGGCTGAACAGGAAGCTAAAGGTGCAAAGGACTGCAATGAATCAAAGCAGAATAACATCCAGGAGATCATGGATTAACACACAACATCCGAT